CATAGACTTGTTTGTGATATTCCTTTATTCCCCTTTTAATGTCCAGTAGTTGCACTTCACGTCGTCTTCCTTTCTTGCTTGGTTAGCTTGACCAGAAATTCATTGGTTTTATTGATTTTTTTCAGAGAACCAGCTTTTATGGTCTATTGATCATACTCTATTAATAATTTCCTGTTTTCAGTTTTTTGGGTTTTTTTTTTTTTTTGCTCTTTTATTTTTTCTTCTGCTTCTTGGATTTCATTTGTTTCCCCTCCCCCCAATTTCCTAGTTTAGACGATTAATTTTATATCTTCTTTTCTGATACATGCATTTAATGCTATAAATTTTTCTCTAAGCAGTAGAGAAAGATTTTGCTGTAATCCACACACATTTTGATGTTTTATTTTAATTTTCATTTAGTTCAAAATAGTTTTCAATTTCCCATGAGATTTCTTCCTTGACCCATGTGTTATTTAGAAGTATGTTGTTTAATCTCCAAATATCCTGGCATTTTCTAGCTTTCTGGTGCTGATTTTTTAATTCAATTGTGATCTAAGAGCATACTTCATACGATATCTGTTATTTTACATTTAAGGTGTGTTTTGTGGCCCAGAATGTGGTCTAACTTGGTTAATATTCCATGTGAACTCAAGAAGAATATATAAAGCCCAGAACAGATTTTATTGGAATCAAATCAAGGTGCCTACAGGGCTGAACTTCCTCCAGGGGCTCTAGGGAGAATCTGCTCTTTTGTGTTTTCTAGTTTCTAGAGGCCACTTGTTTTCTTGGCTTGTAACTCCTTCCTCTATGTTTAAAGCTCATCATTCAGCCTCTGTTTCTATGGCCATATTGCCTCTCTGACCTTTCTGCATTTGCCTTTTAAGAACTCTTGTGGTTACATTGCCCCCACGTAGACAATATAGGATAAGCTCTTTATCCTTAAGGTCCCTTATACCATGTACAGTAACATATTTATAGGTTGAGGGATTGGGGGGTAGGGTTAGGGAGTATTATTTGGTCTTCCACATTAGCAGAATCAGGATTCGACCGGAACTCAATGAACTTGCTCTTGGAACTACTTTTCTTTTAGCACCTTCTCTACTGCTTATACACATAAATGTCTCATTTGTGCTGTGTTTTAAATTTTTTCTTTTTTTTTTTTTTTGAGAGTCTTACTCTGTTGCTCAGGCTAGAGTGCTGTGGCATCAGCCTAGCTCATACTCATAGCAATCTCGAACTCCTGGGTTCAAGCAGTCTTCCTTGCCCAGCCTCCTGCGTAGCTAGAACTGTAGGTACCTGCCACAATGCCCCACGAATCTTTCTGTTTTTAGTAGAGACCAGGGCTCGTCCTGCCTCAGCCTCCCAGAGGACTAAACCCTCCTCTACTTTATTTGTTCTTACTTCTCCCAGTAGGATGTGGCTTCTGAAATAGGACATGAAGGCATGAGACATCAGAAACAGGAAACATGGCCAGGTGTGGTGGCTCACGCCTGTAATCCTAGCACTCTGGGAGGCAGAGGCAGGTGGATCGATTGAGATCACCAGTTTAAGACCAGCCTGAGCAAAAAAGCAAGACCCTGTCTCTACTAAAAATAGAAAAACTGAGGCAAGAGGATTGCTTGAGTCCAAGAGTTGGAGGTTGCTGTGAGCTATGATGCCACAGCACATAGGGCAAGCATTAAGACTGTACCCAGGGCCACAACTTCAGACTCAAAAAAAAAAAAGGAAAAAAATGAGGGAAATAATGTTCTCTTTGGATTTACCAGCCCTTTAAGGCTATGTGTCTTAACTGTCTTTGCCAGTTAACCAGTTACCTCCTAATATTAGCATAAATTGTAATTTAAATATTAAGGTAAATATATGCATGTATGTTTAAATTTAAATGCTCACTGAGGCTAGTAGGTACTGTTTTAGACATAGCTCTAATCTCTCTAGTCATTCCTCCAAACTGCCCTTCCAGCATTGCAATTCATAAATTAAAGATGGTTTATCTGAAATGACAGTTCTTCTAACAACTCATGTTGCCTTGATTTTGGTTTCTTTGTGGGAACAGAAGGAAAGATTTTGTACGTCAGAAGAGTTTGAATACAGCAATTTTTAGGTAGAACACATGCCATTGCGTTTGTTTTGCCTGTTACTCTTTCAGTCATCTGAAAGCATAACCAGTGGTAAAAAGCCTTGGTAGTTTGTTTTATTATATTCCTTTATTCCTAAAAGAAGGTAATGAAAATTTAACTATTAACGCAGGCATCTATACTAAAGGAATATGTGAAACTACATTTGGATTGTATTTTCATTATGTTGCAAATTTAACTACGTATCCTATGCAGTTTGTGTGAATTCCACCCACACTGTAACTTGCTTCTCGTTTTGATAAGGTCCAAAGCTCCACAAAAACAGTAACAAGAAAGTCTTCCTGTGTGGCCTGTGGCTCTCAAATCTGAAGATTATTAATGAATTTCTAGCTAGAGACCATAAGCAAACAAACTCTTACAGATAACTACACCCTTCCTGTTTTGGGATTGAGTTTACTGTGGAACAGATTTCGGAAACAGGTTTCCGACAGTTGAGAATTGTATTTATAAAATGTTGGAGGGTGGGGTCTTCCTTTAACAAAAAATGAATTATTTCCTGTCTGTTACCCAACCACTACATTTTAAGCTGTCAAGTCTTTTTAGAAAATTTACCTTTTAGTGGGGAATTAATGTTACTTTAGCAGTTCTGATTGTTCTTGTTAATATGCAAACATTTGCCTAATTTCCAACAAATAATTCAAAAAGCACTTAAAATTTAAAAATAAAACAAACTTTAAATGCTTACAGTGTCTTGTCTCCAGATTGACAGTAGCTTACAGTTTAAATAAATGTGTGAACATCTTACTATGGTTTTATTTTTTCATCTGCAGATCTACAGCATATTTTTGCTCTGTAAATAGGCTAAATGAAGGGTTTCAGTTTAGGTAAAAAGCAGGTTTATATTAAAGAATTTTCAGGTTAATTCACAGTGTAACATTATCCTCATGTAGTTCATCTGTTATAAAGAAAGAAACTTGTAAAATTTAGGCCACCCAAAAAGCTGTCTGCAGAGGCCTGTGGTCGGTGTTAGAATGCTGCTATTTTGTGGGCTGACTAGTTTGGTAAGGAAATCTCTCCTAGGACTATGAGACGTACTCTGACTTTCCTGTGGGAGGGGGGGACCATACCGGCTTGACTTAGGTATCATGTATTTGTTAGACCAGTCATAATGTGTTCTATTACCATAGGTAATCTGGTTTATCAGAGTATCAGTATCAGTTCTTGGTCATGTAAACCTTAGGATAATTTGGACAAAATGATTTGTTTGTTTTTTTGTTTTGTTTTGTTTTGTTTTGAGACAGAGCCCCAAGCTGTCCCCCTGGGTACAGTGCCGTGGCATTACAGCTCACAGCAACCTCCAACTCCTGGGCTCAAGTGAGTCTCCTGCCTCTGCCTCCCAAGTAGCTGG